AGCATAAGAGCTCGATGTGTGATTGGGACAGTTTCCCTCTGGTGTTCCTTGCGCCAGATATCAGCATTTTGAGCTTATCACACAACCAGAAAATACTTCTCCAGGTTGCCATTGTGCCTTTATGAATATAACAAGTTTCTCTGCTTGGCTTTAAAGCTGCGCCAAAGGTTCTTCTAGAATTGTATATATGAGTTTTAACTGGTTTTAAATGTATAAATGGTACTGATAATTTATGCCAATAAAGGCTGACTTGACTTGACTTGAACTAGGGAGCAAAGCCCATTGTGGTGGAAGACAATGGGCCGTAGTAAGGTAGGAAGGGTGGGTGGAAGGAAGGAAGGAAGAGGTGGGGAGAGAGATAGAAAGATAGAGAGGGGAGAGAGAGAAAGAATGAAAGAGAGAGGGGGTGGGGGAGAGAGAGAGAGAGTGAAAGAAAAAAAGTTAGGAAGGAAGGGAGATATTTCAAGGTCTCCCTGCCGCCTCCCGAGTCCTTCCTGGCTCGTCTGCCTGGGCGAGCAGGCCAGGGAGTGGTGTGTGTGGGGCTTCTCCTGCTGGCTCGCTTCAGCAGGCCAGCCGGAGAAGGCTCGGGGAGACACTTAAATGTCTCCCCGCAGCCTCCTGAGTGCTCCCTGGCTTGGCAAGCGGGCCAGGGAGGGGCGGGAGGGAGCTCAGCGTGCAAGCTAGAAGGGGTGGGGGGCTCTTTCAGGCTTCTCCTGCTGGTCCGCTTCAGCAGGCCAGCAGGAGAAGTGGCGGGGAGACATTTAAATGTCTCCCCATGCCCTCCCCCGCCCCTGCTAGCTCACCAGCCTTGGTGGGTGAGCTAGAAGGGGGGCTCTTTCAGGCTTCTCCTGCTGGTCTGCTTCACCGGACCAGCAGGAGAAGTGGCGGGGAGACATTTAAATGTCTCCCCGTGCCCTTCCCCGCCCCTACTAGCTCACCAGCCTCGGTGGGTGAACTAGAAGGGGGGCCTCTTTCAGGCTTCTCCTGCTGGTCCACTGTAGCAGGCCAGCAGGAGAAGTGGTGGGGAGACATTTAAATGTCTCCCCACGCCTTCCCCCATCCCTGCTAGCTTGCCAGCTTCAGCAGGCAAGCTAGAAGGGCGGGGCGGGGCTCTTTCAGGCTTCTCCTGCTGGCTCCAGCGGGCCAGCATGAGAAGCGGCACGGAGACATTTAAATGTCTTCCCGCGGCCTCCGGAGGGCTCTCTGATTCATCTGCCTCAGCGAGTGGGTCAGAGAGGAGCGGGAGAGGCCTATGCGGGGCTTCTCCGGTTGGCCCACTTCAGTAGGCCAGCCGCAGAAACCCTGTGGAGACAGTGTAATGTCTCCCTGCGGCCTCCCAAGTCCTTCGTGGCTTGTTTGCCTTGTCGAGCGGGCCAGGGAGGATCCAGGCCGTGCATCCCCTTCAGCGGCTCCCTCCACACTGAGGGCGATAGGCCCGCCTGGCTGTGTGGGCGGGAGCAGCCACCCAACGCAGACAGAGGATTGCCTGACGTTTGGAGTGGCAGTTCATGCGGCCAACCTATTTTGGCACGCATCAAACATTGTGGGACAACTACTCAATTATTATGGGGAGAGATTATCACAGGCTGGGGTGCCAGTCAAAGGAAATCCAGAACAGGCCAAGGTCAGGAGCCAAGAAGACAGTGCAAAGTCCAAAGCCAAGCTGGGCTCAGGAGCCAGAAACACAGAGTGAAGTAAAAAATCACTAACCAGAAGCATAGTCAAAGCCAAGTCAGGGTCACAAGCCAGGAACACAGAGCCAAGTCCAAAATCACTAACCAGAAGTATAGTCCAAAGCCAAGCCGGGGACAGGAGCCAGGAACACAGAGCCAAGTCCAAAGCCAGGGAGTCCGAAGGTCTAGGTGCAAGAGCCAAGCTGGAGTGGATGCAAGCAGTACGACGCTGACTTGTTGCTTCCACAAATAGTAAAGCTCAGAGTGTGGAGTTAAATGCTGCTACCAATTAGCCAGCTATGCGATCGTCCAGGCTCCTGTTGGAACTCTGGGCTAGCTGAGCATCTCCCTTGTAGCCTTGCCTCTCTTCACCTAGTTGCTAAGTTTTGCTGCAAGGAAAGACCTTTAGTTTTGGAGTCATGCTGTAAAAGTTGTTGAACTAGGTTTGCGCCACAAACTGTAATAGGACCAGTCAATATACTGAAATAATTTGGTTGGTGGTGGTACAGCCAACTTCCAGTTGGATGATAAAAATCACCAGAAGAAATAGAAACTTGACTGGAATACGTATACTTATTTGGCTAAATATGGGAAGGATTGTTAAATAAGTAAAACAGAAAGATTTTGTGCATAGTAAAGGGGAATTGTGTTACCCGGTTACTGGAAGAAATATAAATACTGCTTCAGAGATTTTTTCTCTCTTTAAAGCAAGAATTAAATAAAGAGATTCCCCCATATTCATAACATATTATCTCTTCTCTTTATTCTCTTACGTATTGTGCCATATCCTTGCGCCTGTGTTAGTCCTGTTTGGCAATTGTTCTGGTATAAAAGGATTTTTCTAAAAAAAACCAAACCCTTTCCATCATCTCTTATTATGACTTACAAAGTCAGAAAAAAAATCTTTGTTTCTTTGGATAAAGCCTGTGCTTTAGTTTGTGGCAAAAAAACCCTCCATTTAAGCAGTGATAAAAACGTTCTAGAAATCATTTGCAAGTTCTTAATTCTGACTTGGCAATGATTCAAGATTATATCAGATTGTATAGTGCGTTTGCAATATAGGAGTAATATAGGTTATCATTGCCATTCTTGGTCAAGGGCTACTGAAGATCTGTACGAGAGGCTAGAATGGTCAGTCTCATTACCATTAACGCCATAATCCACTTTTAAACATTTCTTAGAAAACCTTCCATGTATTTCTCCTAGTCAAACTCAGCATGTGTAGCGGAGCCAGTATCACAGAGAAATCACTTTTGTTTCCTACACTGGCAAAATATACATTTCAACTGATGAGATTTTGGTTTTACTTGATTCCTGTGTTGTATTTGAATAAGCAAGATTAGTCTTCCTCTGATCATGGTTGACTTTCCCCCTCCCCCCTTTTTTGCTACTGTTTTTGTTTTAAACACCTATCATCATCATCATCATCATCGTCATCGTCATCGTCATCATCATCATCTCCAATTTTCCTACAAACCTGTGTCCTGGGTTTGAAGGAACAGGACTGTCCATTGCCTCAAATATTTTGATCTCGTTCACAATTAGATATTCAGATAATTTTACTTTGTAGTTGCAGAACAATTGTGACTGTACAGCTTGGTTTTGAACATGCTTACTTAGAAGTAAGTAACAGCATGAAGTGAGGATTACTCCAAAGTAAAGCTCTGTTGGCCTTGAGCTTTACTTTATTTTCATTCACTGAGACAATTGTTATGTTTTGTTGCCTTTGTTTAATGTATGAAACAGACTTATTGGAGAAGCTTTTTTGATGCAAGGTTATGTATTTGTGCTTTCTCAGGCACAGTTGAAAGACAGATAATTCTCAGATATATGTAAAACAGGATTATTTATTAATAGCTACATTTCAAGTTGGTTGTGACCCAATAAGAAAAACTAAAGCATGTCAAGCAATAGTATTATATAACATTAACCAGCCTGCTTTGCTGGAAATTATGTAATAGCAGGGGTCATGTGGGGCTGGAGCGTGCCGGAGCACTGGTCTGGCAGCCCAGGAACTGGCACAATTGGCGGTGGTGGCAAGCCCCGCCCCCAGCTCCCTGCCCCGAAGCGCTGCGGCCTGGGGGAGGCCTGAAGAGGCCCGTCGCCGACCTCCCAGGGCCTTCACTGCAGTACTGCAGCCCTGGGGAGGCCTGAGGAGTTCCGTTGCTGGTCTCTTGGGGCCCGCGCTGGAGCGCTGCAGCCCGGGGGAGGCCTGATTAGGCCCGTTGCCGGCCTCCTGGGGCCCGTGCTTGAGCGCTGCGGCCCGGGGGAGGCCTGAGGAGGCCCGTAGCCGGCCTCCTGGGGCCCACGCTTGAGCGCTGCGGCCTGGGGAAGGCCTTGATCACGGTAAGTGAGGGATCTGCGGGGTGGGGGGGGGCTTGATGGGGGGTAGGAGAGCCTTGCTCCCTCCCCCTATCTCTTTGCCCTCTTTCTTTCTCTCCTTTCCTTCTCTCCTTTCCTTTTCTTTCTCTTTCCATTTTTTCCTTCCTTTCTTTTCCTCCTTCTTTCCTTCTCTCTCTTTCTTTCCCTCTTTCCTGCTCTTTCTTTTCCTTCTTTCCTTTATCTCCTTTTCCCCTTCTCTCCCTCCTTTCGTTCTTTCTTTCCTCCCCTTTCTTTCTTTCCTTCCCTCTACTCTCTCTCTCTTTCCTTTCCTCTTTCCTCCTTCTGTGGCCCAACTCTAGTGAGAAGGAGTTTAAACTTTAAACCCCTCCTCTCTTGATTCCCCCCCCCTCGCAAGCCGGCTAGGGAGGGGAAGGGGAGGCTTTTGAAGATGCCTCCCCCCCTTTTTTGCTTCCCCTTTTGACATCACTTCCGGTGATGTCAGGGGACGTGGCATATGCTAATGAGCTATTATGCTAATAGCCTAGTAGCTCATTAGCATACCTTATGCTAATGAGCTTCTGCAGCTCTTTCTACGAAATTACCCCTGTGTAATAGGATACTATATACGGTAACAGGTGGCACATACTATACAGAGTACCACTGTCCACTGTCTTTCCCTTTATTAAAGCATTCTTCGTGACCAACTATATTATCATAAAGCCCTATTACCTTTGTAAAATTCCCTCCTGAATAATTCATTTTTGCATTATAGAGTGTGAAATACGAAATACGGGAGATTATATTTGTGAGGCAGGGCTTCCTGCCACCAATCTGTCTTGCTCCTTCTTTGCCCACCCTCTTTTCCCCCCCTGGAATCATCCATGCTGCTTTGTATATGTACAGTACAGAGAACAGGGTGTAAAAATTTTCCATTAATTTATAGGTCGGTTATAAGCAGCTGTAGTGTCCCATGATATGTTCACTAATGTGTACTTTTCTTTTCAGTTGCAACCAGAACAATCGGACTGTGGAGCAGCACATCTCCAGCATCCGTTGTCAATTTTGCAACCTATCAAAGCAAGGCCTGTGTTCACTTCAGCAGGCCTCACGTCAGTAGCGGTCTCCAGCGTCAATAATTACACAGTTGTATTTCTGGGAACAGCAAATGGAAGACTCCTTAAGGTAAAATTTGCAGGGTACCAAGGAGTTAATAAAGCACCCGAGGGACTCATGGTTTCACAATTAATGAAATGATAAGGCATCTTTCATTTGGGAAGCCATTGGTAATAAACAGCCATTCTGGCACTATTTGAAAGCTCTTGGTAAAATGCCATCCTACCTTTAGCCATTGTATGTAGTGAGCAGGGTTATTCTGGCTCAGTTCCTGAATGGGAGATTACTAAAGAGCTCCTGAAATCAGAAGGAAGTGGTTTTAATGATTCACCCCTATCCCATTGTTATGGAGCACTGAACTGCTGAAGGCATAATTTTTCAGAGGAGATGGAAGAACTCCTGAGTGCTTGTGGTTGTTAAAGATCCCATGATGCTTTCCGTAAACAGTAGAGTTGCTAATTTGTGCACTTTGGCTAAATAACAGTTTGTGTAACTGTACTCCCTCTAAACCCCAAATTCCCCATGGGCTTTCTCTCCATGTACAGTAAAAATTTGATTATTGTGTTCTGTTCCTTGAAAGTTTGTAGAGCACTCTAATTTCAGTAAGATCTTCCACCAGCCAGTTACTCTGCTGTTGTCTATGCTATTGCCATTAAATTATAGGAAAGATTATCTGAGCACTCTGTTAATCTGAAACAGTAGTTATTTTGACATGTTCAAGTCTGGCTTGTCCATTAATCAGTGTTTTCCTATAGGACATTTGTTTTCCATTCTAATTGTTATCTTTCCTGTTATAATTTGGATAGGATATTAATAGAACTGCTAAATGATGTTTAAGTGATATGAAATCCTTGTTTGGAAGGAGTTACAAGATCATGTTGATTATGATTACCTGAGTAATCATAAATAGTGCTTGTGAATTGTTGTTAGAGAGAGATCTACTAAACATTATAAGGGAGTAAATTGCAGCAACAGCAATTGTTGCCTGCCTATGGGGGAAATTAAAATATTTTGCATTCTGCACTGGATTCCACAGTATCTTGATTCTAGAAGATTCCTTCCAGTTTGGTGTAGTGGTTAAGTGTGCAGACTCTAATCTGGGAGAACCGGGTTTGATTCCCCACTCCTCCACTTGCACCTGCTGATGTGACCTTGGGTCAGTCACAAGCTCTGGCACAGCTGTCCTTGAAAAAGAGCAGTTTGACACCCCCACCCACCTCATAGGGTGTCTGTTGTGGGGAGGGGAAGGGAAAGGAGTTTGTAAGCCGCTCTGAGACTCCGAGTGAAGGGCGGGGTATAAATCCAATCTCTTCTCTTCTTCTTCTTCTTCTTATCTCTCAGTCAGGTAAGCCTAAAACAATAGCGCAAGTGATAGTATACTAAACCAGTGCAGAAGCACAAACTACATTATACATCTGTAGGAACATCCATGGTATCCAGCAGATCCACCATGTAAATACGTTCTGCTTTGCTGCCACATTAGGCATCAGGCAGGAGTGCAGCATCTACTTCCTCTTAGGCTACAGTGGTCCAAGCTAAAGTTTATTCACTCCTCAGCTGCTAGCCTCCTGCTTCAGTTCTGCAGGTTTTGTCCTGTCTGCAGAGTTGGTTATAAGTATATAAACTCCCTGAATAAGATCATCTGCAGTTTTGGAGTTGATTATTGTCAGTATGCTGATGAAACTCAGCTTGATTTTAGAAAAAAAGAGAGCCAGATGCTATAATCTGTTTTACATCTGTATCTGGATTCTATGGTCAAGTGGGTGAGGGTGAACCAGCTGAAATTGAATCCAGGCAAGATGGGAGCTAGTCGGGAAGGTGCAGAGTTTTATTGGATGGTATGAAGTAGTTAGATTCTGTAAAGAGTTTAGGAGGGTAACTTCTTGATCCAGCCCCATTGCTGGAATAACACATTGTGATGGTAGGAAGGATCACCGTTGCCACAATGGTGCAAATGCTGTTCCTGCCAGCTTGGTGTTAGTGGTTAAGAGTGGCGGACTCTAATCTGGAGAACCGGGTTTAATTCCTCACTCCTCCACATGAAGCCAGCTAGGTGACCTTGGGTCAGTCACAGTTCTTTCAGAATTCTCAGCCCCACCTACCTAACAGGGTGTCTTTGTGGGAAGAGGAAGGGAAGGTGATTGTAAGCCCCTCCAAGAGTCCTTCGGGTAGTGAAGGGTGTGGTATAAAACCAACTCCTCCTCCTCCTCCTTTCATTCTCTGCTTGCCTTGCTGCAGTTATCTGTCACTATGTAGTTTCTTGCTTGGATTACTGTTGTTCTGCTCTAAAGTGGATCTTTCCTTGAATAACTGGTGCAAAACATGGCAGCCCCGTTTTTGTCAGGTATCTGGTGCCATGTGCATATCATCCCAATATTACAACATCTGTTTCTGAGCTTAATTCAGGGGACTGGGTCTTACCATTAAAGGCCCTCGTGGTCTGGAACCCACATACTTGAGCAACTGACTTTTTTCTCTGTCTCCTCAGTCACCAGCTTGAGTGGTCACCACATGTTGGAACTGCTTTTCCAGGGGATGACCTGTTTGCTCCTTCCCTCCTCTCATTTTGGAGAGCCTGGCCTGTAAATCTGTTCTTTTTTTGGTAGGATTGAAAGTAACTTGGTGTTCTGAATAAGGATAATGTTGTTCTTTTTGTAGTTGTTCATTTGTTTGTGGTAATGATTTTATTTTGGTTATTATATTTTTAACCATGTCTGTTGCAAGCCACATCAGTCTTGTTTGGAGATGACTAGGCCCTGGATCCCAATGGTCATCGTGCCATAACTCACTCAGCAGTGTCTTCTGCAAAGTCCTGTCCTTGGCAGTCTCTTAAGACAGCCTTGTGGTGACCTTGAGTCTAACTCAGAATCATGTTCATCGGATGGTGTAGGGCAAAGTTTGGCCTGATGGAGCACAGTCCCTGCTGGGGATAAAACAAGAGAGAAATAATAAAACTGGCGTCTCGATCCATGATTCTGTTCATTTAAACAAAGCCAAAAAAGCATCAGTTGATAAGCTCACTGCCTCAGCTTTCAGTCTTCAATAAAGAAGCAACTGGATGTTCCTTTAAAGTGTTCCATGATGTACAATATCTACTAATTCATAACTTTTAATCAGCATTTGAGGCTACAGTGCAATCAAGATTTCATTTTATATGTCGTGGAAATAAATGCCTCTACTAAAATGTTATAGCACAGCATTTAGTTATTAACAATCTCCTCTTATAAATTGTTCCTTATCTTGATTGGTACTTGTGAACAAAAATACACGCAGACCCACCCACCTCTTGGAATAAATACCCTATGATTGGCTGTTGCTATTGCTGAGCTCCACATCAGGCATGCATCCATGTGTGTGATAATGCCTGTTTTATCTATGGTGAAACAGTATACCAAGGACCAAGATTTAAGGCACTGTAACTGTCTCAAGAGAGGAGCAACCACCAGCTGCAGTAACCCACTAGGTGCCATTTGCTGAAGAAAGGGCTCAATATTAGCTCGTCAGGGGAGCCTCGTTCATTGTCTTTCCAGCAACAGTAGATGTCGACCCTCAAGGAAAGATGTGACTGGAATCTGTTTTATATCTGTCTGGAGATAATCACACATAATGCAGAAATATTAGATCAGAATAAGGGGAGAACAGAAGAAAATCCAATTTCTTTCACTGCTTTCCCTAGCAGGAAGGTGGCAAAGATCTTGGTGGTCCTCTAGTTTGAAATTTGCCCAGAGGTACGGGTTAGATGACAAGAGTGCTGGGCAGGTGCTGTCAAGGCGTCTGCACAGGGCATTCTGTGCAGGTACATTCCTCACACAGCTTGTGTAGGTACATTCCTCACACAGCTTGTGTTCACACAACAGCAACAGCTCTGCTTCCATTATCATATCAGGAAAGGCAGCCTTATCTACTGAACCTCCATTAGGGAAAGGCTCCTGGCTGCTCTTTGCTGGGATAATTTGTTCAGATAGCCATAATCTAATTCTGTTACACAGCTGCACAACCAGAAGCTTTTTTACCTTGGGGGCTCCTTGTTACTTGGCATGGAATATAAAGTACTTGGTATGAGTTATAATTCAGGTTTCCCATCCAAGACAAGATAGTAAAAGGGGCATAAGCAGTGTTCAGCCAGCTCCCAGAGCAGCAATTATGGTTTCGTATCACATAGGGAATTAATCTGATCCGGTAAATTATAAAGCACACCTCAGAAGGGTATTTCACAGGAGCCATTAGCTATGGTGCATTCAGTAGATTCATTAGTGGGAGAGCTTTAAGTGTAAAGCAGCTATACCATGTATAAGGGCAGCATATTAAAACAGACCAGGATACAGAGATTTTTGGTCAAAGCACAGAGATTCAGTAACTTGTCTTTATTCCTGGAACAGTTCAGGCAACATATGACTTACTGTCACCAATCTAAGACAACTTCAAGAAGTTTCTTTGGCATTCTAAGCTGCATCCTCATGTGATGTTGGATATTGCATGTGATCGATCATTCCATGTAGATTTTTTTTCCTGTGGGAACAAGGCAATCTAGTTGTGAATGATTACTATAGTGCAGCAATTTTGCAATATTCAATGATGTGTGAATGCAGCTCTACTATAACGGAAGATCCAGTCTAGGAAGAGAATTGTTAACCAACAACTCTGCTGTTTTCTTTGGGCTTCCCACATTCTGCCTTGCTTACCATAGATGAAGATGGAAGAAAGTAATCAAGTCAAATCACATAACATGGAATTTCACAGTTTTTATGAAATTGGGTCAATTCAGTTATTGGGGGTCAATTCAGTTATTGGGTCAATTCAGTCCACACAAAATCTTCATTTTATGGAAATGATTAATTTTTAAAGCTGAATTGATTTTTTTGGAAGAAGATTTGGTTTTTATATCTCACTTTTCTCTATCCTAAGGAGTCTCAAAGCAGCTTACAATTGCCTTCCCTTCCCCTCCCCACAACAGTCAGCATGTAAAGTAGGTGGGGCTGAGAGAGTTCTGAGAGAACTGTGACTGGCCCAGGACCACCCAGCAGGCTTCATGTGGAGGAGGAGTGAGGAATCAAACCTGGTTCTCCAGATCAGAGTCTGCCCAGTTCTCCAGATTAGAGTCCTCTGCTCTTAACCATTGCACGCTGGTGGTGTAGTGGTTAAGAAAGAAGCATGCTATGTAAAAATAGCTGTCAAACTGATCCATTTTTAATTTAAACATCTTTCTCTCTCTTCCTCAGAAAGCACTATTTGCTAATTGATGACCTTATGAAATGTTTTCATCCCTAACAGATTAATCTGAATGGTTCTATGAAAGTGATAAGTAGGGAGTCGATTACTGTGGCTTATGGTGAACCTGTCCACCCCCTCATGCAGTTTGACCCTTCTGACTCCAGCTATTTGTATTTGATGACCTCCCATCAGGTAAGACTATTTTACAAACATGCCTGTGTTGAGATGAAGAAACAGGGGGATAGAATATATTCTGGAGATCTGTAGAAATGAAAAATGTATATTTTGTTAAGTGAACAGCAAATGCAGTCTTAACTAGACTTTTTACAAACTTCTCTCTTGATTGAGATCTCACTGAATGTTTAGGATATTTAAGATAATTGCAGCCTAGAAAGAAGTCAATGGCTGTAAAGCTATTCATTTTGCATTTGAATTTTCCTGGAAGTTTAAAGATAGTGGTATCTTTCAGTTTTTGTTGAGTCCACCTTTAGTGAAAGCAAAGAGGAAATTACTCTAGATATCACTGGACTTTCTAGCTCAATTCTCTTTTGATTTTAAAGTGTCATTACTAGATTTGGTTCTTGATTGTATCTAGCCAATTACATAACCCTAGCTCATGAGGGAGAACTATGAAAAAGATGTATGACTATTGCTTTCCCACTGCATTTAAGCTAACCAGCTGAAGAGAAGCAAAGTTCAGCATGTGCTCCAAGCTGCAGTGGCTACATTCCATTTTACTCTACTGAAACAGATGCATAGCCAGGAACTTTGTACTTGTTATTTAAACTCTCCAGCTGTAATTCCCTGCAGAATGCCCTTTACCACTAAACTGAACGCAGAACAGATTCTTTTTTGAGCCATCCTCAAGCCATATCTGTATCCAGTGAATACTTTGGATGACAACACTATACCTAATACATGTCTTGTCATGCTGTCACTAGCACTAAGCTTGCAAGACATCAATTGACCTCTACTTTGGTTGTCTCTACATGGTTGTTTCTCCCCCCCCCCCCGAAGTATTCGTTTTATGTCCAGTCAAGTATAGAGGATTCTATACTTGACTGGACATGTCTAGTTGTAAACTGTATATGTTTTTGATAGGCGTTCTGCTTAATAGAAGGAAGAACAAAACCCAGCCACTGAAAACATGACCAGTTCTTTGTGAATTGCAAGTAAATGTTTGTCATGTGTTAGGGAAGTTGGCAAAATTCTGTAAACTTTGCAAAAGCCCGCAAAATTCCATGGCCGAGAGCTTTTAGTGTGCCTCATGTACTTCCATCTAATTTTTTTCTTGCATAATTTTATAAACAACTCCTGCATCCCCCCCCCAATCTTCTTTTTTCTGAGGGAGAAAGCCAAACACACACATTATATATCAATGTTCCCACTAAACTGTGGAGTCCTGTGAGCAAAAATTCTACTTCGTGAGCTACTGGCTTTAAAGTTGTGAGTGGGCAATTTGGCTACTGCATCAGTTAGCTTGCTCTGGAGCCATCCTTTCTGAGCGAAGACAAAAATCTGTGAGCCGGAGGCTAAAAAACTGTGAGCTAGCTTACACTAACTCAGCTTAGAGGGAAGGAACACTGATACTCATCCATGCAAGAAGGGTATAACCATGTGAATATTCCTGGCTGATTTTAAAACATGAGGAAAAGCTTTCTTTTAGGTAGGCTGGGCTTAAGCAGTTGAAGAATTTATGGCTTTAAACTAGTACTGTGTCTTAGGTCCAAAACTGGGCTTCCTTTTACAGTTGGGTGGGACTTGCTTCATAAAGAGCACCTATAAACAGTCTTCTGATTCAGCAGCATTGGAAAGGACATCAAGTTGGCTGAGGTGCAGATCCTTGCCCATTCATCGTGTTGAGTCCATTTCCAAAAGTGGGATGGCAGTTTCACCTTTCTAGCCTGATAATTAAAAGTGAGAACACCGTGGTGACAGATTCTGTTTTATTTTAAAATATATATATAACTTGCTTTTCTTAATAAAACTCAAGTGCAGCTAACAAAACGTAATCAGTAAAACCATTTCGCAAAACAGCATATAAACCATAAAACCAAACTACATCCAAATTTAAATGAAAATGGGAGAAATAAAAAATCAGCTCCTCCACAACCGATTAGCCGTCACATCCCTGTTGTAGCAAAAGCTTCTTGCAGACATTAAATAAGCATCTGAAGAATGAGTTGTGGCTTATGCTGGAATAAACATCCGTTTTTAAGGTGCCACTGGACTTTTGCTTTATTGTGCTACAACAGAGTAACCCTCTGGAACTGCAGAAGATAAGCAGGGGTGCAACTCAGGACACATCCTCAGATAGCAGCCAAAGAGAAGCTCAAGACTGCGCATAAGATGAACAAGCCACCTTAATGGTTAGAGCTGGCTGTCATCATCATGTTGATGACACCCAAACCCAAATCTTCAGATGATTTCATTAAATGGCCAGAAATATATATTGAAAAGCATAGCTGAGAGAACATACAACTGAGGAGCTCCAAATTTCACGTGCTATCCTGACTCGTCCTGTGTTGATAAGAATCCCCTTCGATTAACAGAGGAATACGTTTCAGAAAGTTTGATTCTCTAGCAATAACTGCTGTTGTTTTCTCTGTTGTACAGATAGCTCACGTGAAAGTATCTGCCTGTGATCAATACACCACATGTACTGAGTGCTTAGCTGCAGCCGATGCTTATTGTGGGTGGTGCACCTTGGAGACCAGGTGAAATATTTTTGTACCAACCTCTTAGCGCATTCCGGGGAGGAAATCATTATGTTTTGTGTTGACTGAAATTACTAGTCTTGTCAATCTCACCACTCTGCTCTTGTGACAATGTTTTGGATTGTTGACACATATTTCAACAGCCATTTCTAATTTTAACTGCTTATTTTGAAACAGTAATTTTCATGGCTAAAATCTCAGCATTCAAAAAGCATTTGAGAAGCATTTCATAAACAATTTGTTCTTTTTTGATAAACATAATTATCTATGAAAAGCTATTCATAAGTAATGAAAACAGTACATTATAAAATAAAGTATTAAGAGAAGGCACTGAATTTGACAAGTTTTTTAAAAAAGCCATGCAATGTAATTAAAATCATTACTGAACCACTTTGCAAGTTGTTTTTGTACCTTTGTACTGTAAAATAGGTGTTCCATGAAGGGACCTATAAAGATCTTTTGAAGTGGCTGATCATTAAAGTAGGTGGTCTAAATAATCCTGGAAGCATTTCTGTGGTAGTACTAAGTAACTGAGAGTTAGGGTGATATAAACACATTCACAAGATATTTTTAGGGGACAGTATAACACTGTGTAATGTGTGGTTTCTTTTCCTGACAAATATATGCCCCTCTGTAGTAGATTTCCTGAGAGAAGCTTACAGTCTTTTATTTCCTTTGACTAGTATTTTTGACCCATATACTTAAGCTGAAATTTCAATTGAGTAATGGTAGAACTGTGCTAGATATCCAGGAATCTGGTGTACAGTGTAGAATCTTAACTTTAAAAAGTTAAATTTGCAACTTACAGAACTTGAAAATAAGAAATAAGCATTGTATGGAAACTTAGAAGCAAGAAAAACAAAGCTGCTCCTAGGTCCCGTGCGCTGGTGAAGTTAAGAGGGCAGTAGTGCTGCCATGTAACCCAGCAGTAGGTTTAGGGTGCAATCACATGCAGAATTAGCCGTGCCACAGGCTTGAATGCCAGGCGGATTTTAAGGGCGCAATCAGATGCCAAAATCTGCCAAGCGTCCTGCTTCCATTGGCAACCCGTTTTGCTCCGCTGCAGAAGCAGAGTAAAAAGACACCGGGGAAAACCCAGTAGCAAACGGGTTTGCTATGGGGCAGGAACGGACTTTTCCCAGTGTGACCACGCCAGCACCCTTCCATGGAGTCAGGATGGTCTGATTGGGCCACCCCGACTCCATGTTGTTGTTGTTTTCCCCATTTTGGTATGCGCATCATCACACACTACATAGGGAGCACTCAGTGCGGGGATGCGAATCATTGATCCCTTGTTGAAGTGCACTGGAAATACGCGGCCAAAAAAACCCCCTGACTCACCTGCGGTTGCATCTGATCATGCAGTGGCAGGCCACCCCCACAGCTCTCAGGAACTGTGTGATCGCGCAAATGCGGGTGAAATTGTTCTGGAACAAATAGCCTTGTTTTCCCCACACATTATCTTGCGCATGTGAACACTGCCTTGGTGTACCAACAGGAGCAACTGGGGCCTATCATTTAGCAATGGCTTCTTCTGGCTGTATTCTGTGGGCAATTAGAATAGCTCATAGCAGATGACCATATCCACAAAACCCTGCACCTCATTTTATCAACAGTGAAGCAAGTTGCCAGGCAAACAAGATTATGCTAGATGTCCCTCTCATACTTGCTCAGCCTTGGATTAGGTTAGAGACACAGAGGTAAAATAGTTAATCTGCCCATTTGTATATGCCAGCAGTCTGGTTGATAAACTCGGCTGTGTCAACTCATCCTGCAGTTAGATATGAGGGCTGTGCAACAGTGCCACTAAACGATTCCATAAATATTTTAAAAGTTCAATATCTTTTACTTATACAAGTGAGGGACTTGCTAGGCAAGTGGATTCCCAACCCCTCACTGCAGGCCCCCACTTCTTCTCCTCTTGTGGTGGTTCTATACACACACACATTGTCCACTCACCAGTTGTCCATTTTCTATACCCCTGAGACATCCACCAATTTTCCTCCCCCTGCCATCTTCCCAGCTGTGTTTTCACTCTACTATGTGGAAGCAGTTTGAGACAGACTACAGCATAACAGAGTAAGACTATGGTGCAGGTCTTCATGGGGATACAGGATAAAACAGTAAAGATTATCCAACCAGAGCAATCAATTTACTTTACTTGAACAAGGTATTTACTTTAAGGTCAAGTCAAATGAACAGAAACAGAGTGTTTGAATTTAAAGAAGAAGATTGCATAATAGACAATACACTGGCTTCTCTGAAATTGTTCAGCCAGCAGAAAGCATAATGTATGGCTTCTGTGGGTTTAATACTCAGTTTTTCTAAATCAAATTTAAACTAAGAGTGTATGGAAAATGTATAGGAAGAGCATAATTTTCCTGGTGCACTTTGTTGTTGAAGGTGACATGCTGACATCATGGAGTATTGTGCTGATTATATAAAATGAGCATTGGGAAAATAACAAATGAGGAGATGATTGCAATTCTTCAACAAAATGATTAGTAACATGAAGGTCACATGCCATAAATCTTTGTAATCATTTTTAGGTGTTCTTTGCGGTATGAATGTGCTAATTTTGTTGAACCCAATTTCTGGATAAGTCCCAGTGGGGGAGTGAATCAGTGCCCTTCGATGACTATAATACCCCCAGAAATAAACATTGACGAGGAGAACCAGGTATGTCAAATAAGAACAGCATTGTATGCAAAACTAGAAGTCATGGATCTCATTCAGTGTGAGTCCAGTACTAGATAATTCAAAGCCACTGACATATTGCCATGTTACTATCCCTGGAAGCTGTGATATAATTGGCCTTTTAAGCACTGGTATTTAGCAATATGAGGGTTTCAGACTTATTTCTCAGTAAAGCAGCAAATCCATTCAAAAATATTTAATATTAAGCACCAAGTAAAAGCCTTGGGAGATTTTCTATGTTTGTGAGAAGTCATACTTTTAAAGCCGCTGCAGTTCTCAGATGAATAAGAAAGAGCTGTCTGATATACCATAAAAAGCCATGCTAAGAACAAGACCAAGCATAAATAGTAGGTGGGCTTAAAACTTGATTACAAAAGAATAACTGGCTTGAACTATGAAAATGGAAGACTATAGTTTCAAAATTCAGCAATAGATAAAAGTTTCATCATTTTTCAGTGCTCAGAATGGTCTGTAATTTTTATGCAGTCTATTTTCAATGTAATTTTTCAAGATTTCTTTTTAGTGAAAAAGGTTGAAAAGTTTCAGTCTTTAAAAAAATGCCATCATGCAGTTTTGAGAGTGATCATTTGAGCTTTGTTTGCATGCTGTTCTATTAACACAGCCAGTAAAAGGAAGTTAACAAAGAAAATAGACCAAAAGCCAGGAAGAGAAACTAAGTGAGTCACTTTCTCAAGTATCACTTCTGATCTCACATCTTATTAAGATGCCACAAAATCAGTATTGTGATACCTTTCATTGGATCAAATTTTGTGCATGCTTTTAAGTCTTGCAGGGCCCTTTCTCTTTTGGCTGACTTGTAGGGAATTATTCTGAGCAAAGTTTGGGTGGACCAGAGATCATCACTATATAAGAATTTTGTTTGTCTTCTAGAAATAAAAATCTTCCCATGAGATAGAGGATTAGTTTAATGTGAGAGCCATTGAAGGACATAACAGTTTCTCTTAGAAACCACCATCCCTTGGGATGCTGAAGCAACTAAATGAGTAACATTAAAAAAAATTAAACCACCAAAAATGCATATTTTGAAGGTTCTTTTCTAGGACTGGAGAGTTATTTTTTTCTTTAACAGAACAGACTTGGCCTTTCAGCAACATTACCTGAACAAAAACGTTTCAGATTAATACATGGTGCCTTCCATGATGAAATTCTTTCTTGGTGCTTTCTCCATTACAGCAGAATTGTCTTCCATTAGTAGTGCCAGTGTGGTGCTGTGAATTAAATTCTGTAACCAGTTCTTGAACTTATAGAACAGTATTATTTTTGTGTCCTTCTGTTCATCCAATATATATAGAAGCCCAATGTATTGGTACTTTCCGGTTTTCCCATTAGCTGTGCTGTGTGCTCCATCAGTCATTGGCCCATCAACCACCACTCAAGAGTACTTGTGTGTCATTGGCTGGGTGCTGGGTGGGTCTGCTCCTCTCCCCCACCAACTGCCAGCCTGCCCACTTTCCTGACAGAATAAACTGCCAAAACAGCTGTCTTTCCTGATGAAGACACTTCTCCTGCTTGGCTCCTGTGGGGTTAACATTTCCTTTAGTGGCTGTTGCTAGGCAACCAAGCTTGGTTCTGTTAGTAAAAAGGCAAAGGCAGGAGGCCCATTCCAGGCCTACTTGGTGGGGAACTCATTGGGGCCAGTCCTGACTAGGGTTGCCAGCTTGAGGTTGGGAAATTCCTGGAGATTTTGTGGTGGAGTCATTGTACCGACAGGTACAATGCCATAGACTTCATCCTCCAAACCAGCCACTTCCTCCTGGGGAACCATTACTGCCAAGCTCCAGGTGAGGGCTGGAGATCACTCAGAATTACAACCAATGTTCCCTCTAAGTTCTGGAGTCTTGTGAGCAAAAATTCTACTTTGTGAGCTACTGGCATTAAAGTTGTGAGCGAGCCATTTGCCTACTGCATAAATTAGTTTGCTCTGGAGCCATCCTTCCTGAGCTAAGACCAAAATGTGTGAGCCAGAGGCTAACAAATTGTGAGCTAGCTCACACTAACTCATCTTAGAGGGAACACTGCTTACAACTACTCTCCAGATGGCAGAGATCAGTTCCTCTGGAGAAAATGGCTGCTTTTCAGGGTGGACTCTGTATTATTATACCCTGCTGAGGTAACTTCCCTCCTGCTTGGGTCCCCACTGTGGAGAAAGACTGTAATTTTCCTAGGTAGAGGCTGCAGGTGTGTGGGAGGGGGGGAGATGGAAAGCTGAAGTCAGAGGGGCAGATAAAGGTAGGTTGATGGTTGGCTGGGAAGGAGATAGGATTGCCAACTCCAGGTTGGGAAATTCCTGGAGATTTGAGGGATGGAGGCTGGAGAGGATGGAGTTTGAGGAGGGGTGGGACCTCAGAGAGGTACAATGCCATGGACCCCCACCCTCCAAACCAGCTGTTGCCTCCTGGGAATCCACTGTTGCCAATCTCCAGATGAGGGCTGGAAATCACTCAGAATTACAACTGCAGATGGCAGAGATCAGTTCCCCCAGAGAAAATGGTGGACTCTGTGTCATTATACCCTGCTGAGGTCACCACAGCAAATTGACACTGAGTGCCCAAGGCCAGGGCACCCACCTAGAGCCTATTTCTAGAGCTCATTGTATTTATTTCCACAACGAACCTTATTCTTAGTCTGCTATAAGCCACTGCTTAACTGATTAAGTATCAGGGCAGACTTCCTGTATGATGTACTGATTTGGGTGTCAAAGCAGGACCTGGGAGACTGGAGTTGAAATTCCTGCCCTACTGAGAAGTTTACTAGGCCCAGCTTGGCCCAGTCACTCTCTTGGCCTAAACTACCTCACCGTGTTGTTGTGAGTATAAAGTGTGAAGGAAAGAACCATGTGTGCTGACCCGAGCTCCTGCAGTAAAATCTGAAAATTGGACTAGGAACTAGTCTTCCATGGATGTTTGCTGGACGACCTTGATCACACATTCTCAGGACAACGATATAAGCCACTTTGGGTCTCCAGGGGGAAATAGTATAAATATAGTAAGTAAATAAGTGTATTGACCTTTTATAAAGCAATCAGTTCAACCCATCATTCCAGCCTACATTCATTTTATTTTCTTTTTAGCACATAAGTAAGCTTCTTTTCTTTTTAACCAAAACTAGCCTGACTACTGAATTTTTTTGTGCATTCTGCACTTGGTCTGAAACTGCTTATTAAGGCTGTACTTTGAGAAAACCAGGGTATCTTCTTTGTGATCTCTGTGCAGTCCCACACATGGGTACTGCACCTGTGCATGAACCGGACCTCAGAGAACTACAAAAGCTAGCCTCTGGTGTTTGGTGTGCTCTTTTACTGCGCTCTGGGGAGCAGGTATCGACTGTGCGTGCTTGGAGTGGGGAAAGAGTGCCCTCCCACTCAGTTTCTTCCTGACCGCCATGCTGTTCAGATTTACCTCACTGCATTCCTCTCTTGAGCTACCCTCTTTTGCAACTATTTGCCATCAGACTTCAATGAATCTGATCCTGCACCCCAAGACAGGCCTTCATCATGGGACCATGAACCACTTTGTCTGTTGCATTGGTCCTAACCATCCCAGAGCCGTTCTCGATCCCGTAGCCGGCATCACCTATGCCCTGGATTCCTACATGGTGCACTATAGAGGGCATCCAAGATACTTGTTGGATTCCAGATCACCCTCTCCATAGCTATCTAGGACACTATCGGTCCCAGTCTCCATCCCAATCTTCTTATTGGCCTTGGGAATGATATTCTCGACCTTTCTCACCTCATTGCCCGGAGGATTTTTCCACCCATTCCACTCACTTTCCGAAGCCATTGATCCTCGGTCCTCGTATTACGTCCATTATTATATGGCCACCTGAGGACCCCCCTGCTTCTTTGATTTCTGCTCTTCCCAGGCCTCCATCTCTTCTTGCCTCTCAATCGACAGTCTCTGGTCCCATTGGAAGAACCTCCTGTTTCCACCTCGGAACCATCAGATGTTGACACCGACAGTTCGGACTCGGATGCAGATGCTACCTTCCATACTTTGCCTGACTCAAATATTGCCCATCTTTGCTCATTCTCTCTGTCTGAAGGCTCCAAATTGTATCTTGAGTTAGTGATGCGCATGGTGGCTGCTCTAAACATCCAGCTCATCAGTGATCCCCTGAAGGTTACAGATCTTGTTCACAAGCTAGTTCAATCCAATCTCCCACCAGCATCATTATTAGCCATGCTCCCTGTGCACCTGGAAGCTCTCTGAGAAGCATGGGACAAACTGGCCTCTATCCCACTGGCGTCAAAATGCTTTGAATCCCTCTATTGGGTCCAACCCTTGGATTCAAAGTTTCTTTTCTCGCATCTGGACCCCAACTCCATGATAGTCCATTCAACCATGAAGTCCAAGCAGACTCATCATCCTGCACCTCCGGACCATGAAGATTGGAAGCTGGACACTCTGGGGCACAAAATGTATTCAATCACAACAATCACAGCCAAAATACACAGTTATCTGGCATACCTCTCAACGTACTCCTTCTACCTAGCGAACCAGCTTTCCTCTCTGGCTCTAGAGCTGCCCAAGACTTCTCAGAAGACTGCCACTACCCTCCTCAATGCAGCTACATGCTTGCTGCTCATCTAAGGCCTTGGCCACCTCCATCTCCCTCAGGAGACATGCCTGGCTACACTTCACCTCTCTACAACCTGACATTAAGTCGAAGGTGGAGGATTTGCCCTTTGATGGTGAGGACCTGTTCCATGCAACCACAGATGAGCTCCTTACCTATGTGAATGACAGTTGCAAGAGAGCGAGAAATTTGGCGGTCTCACAGTCTTTCTAGCAACGTAACCCCAAACTGAAACCTTTGAAACAAAACTTCTTCAAGCACTCACAGTCCCCTCGCCAATTGGATTACTGGAAGCATGAAGGCCCTGCTGTCAAACAACCTTACCAGCAGAAACCCAAGCCACCTTCTTTTAAAAAGTTGACACCTCAATCCAAACAGTCTCT